AGTAGATTGATAGATGTGTTGTGGTTTAGCCCACAAGTAGGGTTATAAAGTCCACCAGATACACCGAACAAGGACATATAACAGTGATGAGATGAGTGAAATGAAAGTGAAAGACGTGAGAGCTAAAGTGTGCAATTCTGCACTTGCCAAGTATTAAGTTAGCGAGCGAGATAATAATGTGAATTTTCTCTAATTATGTTCTATTGTGTTTAACAGCTGACGACTCTTGCTCTTCCACTGTTGTTATCTTGCTCTTCCACTGTTGTTATCTTCTTTGGCAATGAATTTGTTATCCATGAAGCTCATTAGGTGTTGCTCTAGTTCATGTGTGTGTGACGCAGGCGTTGATGGCACTATCGTTACTGCATTCATACTCATGCTCATCAATTCTGACATATTTCTTCAGTGTTCTTAATCCGTGTATTGTAATGACACATGTGTTACTGAGGGAGGTATACACAGCGGGCCAGGTGACCTTCTTGATGTTAATTATATTTCTGACTTGTACTTCTTAGATATCTTATGCATAATACGACTGAAAGCCTTTTTTTGAAACCAAATTTGCAATCGTGGGAGATTTGAATCACGTGGAAATAGATCGGGGGGCATGAATCCCATTCAGTTGATCTCATATACGGAGACTATGTTGATGGACACTACAGAAGGGAGCTTTGATAAAAATTTTGAAACTGGACGGAGCATTGAGCATTGTTAGTTCAGCGCACGCGCGCGCATTAACCCCTTTGATACATCAGGTTACTGTGATTTCCTTGTGTAAGCGAGCTTGCTAAAACAACATGAAAACGGAATCAAGTAAAGGAGACGAAATAAACAGCTTAAATCCCATTTTTGACCAAGGAGCGAGCAGGCGCTGACAGAACTGGTTTTCAAAAAGTCCAGAAACTCGTAAATGTGCAAATTTGGCCTCCAATAGACTACTATTTTTCTTGATTGCTTATTTGCAACGATCTGATTTAGTCACTTTTATGTCGGGATTATTACTTGAGTTTAATATCCCCGTCAGTGTTTTAACACGACCCGGCAGACCTTGAACCCACTTTTTTATTGTTTTCTTTTATTTTATGTTACCCACTTTAATACTGGCGTTCTCCAGCCTTACAGAGAGGGTGGGAGGACTCTCTCTCTCTCTCTCTCTCTCTCTCTCTCTCTCTCTCTCTCTCTCTCTCTCTCTCTCTCTCTCTCTCTCTCTCTCTCTCTCTCTCTCTCTCTCTCTCACTCACTCTCTCTCTCTCTTCCTCCGACGCTGCTGATGTCGGTCCCATCTCTTCAAGACGCAAAAAATCTTCAACACAGAATATTTTCACGAAGATGCATTACAAAGTTTGAAGGGGGGAGGGGGGGAGGGGGGAATTTTTGTGAGAGTGGTGGAGCTGAGTGGAGTGGAGATGGCGTGGCTGATGAGTCAGATTTTGCGGCGAATGGAGTTAACGTTGTTTGTAACAAGGTGATTGTTGAGGAATGACTACATCAAAACACAAGTGTATTACTGCCGGGTGAACAGCGACATCGGGAAACGCGCCGAAACGCCTCATACCTTTTGGATAGAAAATTATTAAACGGGCACTCTGTTGAAGACTCAGCACAGCGGAATTGTTATATGAGCGAGAGGCGTTAACTTATTAGTATTAAGCGGCCACATCTGCAGGGATGACTTACAAAATAACAATTTAACTATGCAGCTGTTGACTAATGGCTTATGATCTCAAAGATATTTTCTCTGAATTGCATCTTGAGTTATGTAGGGAGCCGGTGGCTGAGCGGACAGAACACTGGACGCGTGATCCTGTGGTCCCGGGTTCGATCAAGGGCGCCGGCGTGAAACAATGGGCAGAGTTTCTTTCACCCTGATGCCCCTGTTACCTAGTAGTAAATAGGTACCTGGGAGTTAGTCAGCTGACACGGACTGCTTCCTGGGCGTGGAGGCCTGGCCGAGGACCGGGCCGCGGGGACACTAAGTCCCGAAATCATCTCAAGATAACGTCCTGGCGTGATCGGAAACTACATCAGATAAGTGGCCTTGAAAGCTAAGGCACAATATAGTACTTGTTTTAGGAGAGCCAGAGGAGAAGTCGCAGAGGCGGGGCAGACTACGGCATATTGGCGCGACCAAGTGGGAGAGAGTTCTGCTCTGAGGCCCATATTGGGCAGGCGTAACCTGGGCGTGGGTGACCGGGCCAACGGTAACATTTTCATAGCTGGTGACTCTCATCCTCCCACTGTAGCAGGCTGTCCTCCTTCCACTGTAGCAGGCTGTCCTCCTTCCACTGTAGCAGGCTGTCCTCCTTCCACTGTAGCAGGCTGTCCTCCTTCCACTGTAGCAGGCTGTCATCCTTCCACTGTAGCAGGCTGTCATCCTTCCACTGTAGCAGGCTGTCATCCTCTCACTGTAGCAGGCTGTCCTCCCACTGAACCAGGCTGTCCTCCTCTCACTGTAGCAGGCTGTCATCCTTCCACTGTAGCAGGCTGTCATCCTTCCACTGTAGCAGGCTGTCATCCTTCCACTGTAGCAGGCTGTCATCCTTCCACTGTAGCAGGCTGTCATCCCCCCACTGTAGCAGGCTGTCATCCTCTCACTGTAGCAGGCTGTCCTCCTCCCACTGCAGCAGGCTGTCATCCCCCACTGTAGCAGGCTGTCATCCTCCCACTGCAGCAGGCTGTCATCCCCCACTGTAGCAGGCTGTCATCCCTCCCACTGCAGCAGGCTGTCATCCCCCACTGTAGCAGGCTGTCATCCCTCCCACTGCAGCAGGCTATCATCCCCCCACTGTAGCAGGCTGTCATCCTCTCACTGTAGCAGGCTCAGGCTGTCCTCCTCTCACTGTAGCAGGCTGTCATCCCCCCACTGTAGCAGGCTATCATCCCCCACTGTAGCAGGCTGTCATCCCCCCACTGTAGCAGGCTGTCATCCCCCCACTGTAGCAGGCTATCATCCCCCCACTGTAGCAGGCTGTCCTCCTCCCACTGTAGCAGGCTATCATCCCCCCACTGTAGCAGGCTGTCATCCCCCACTGTAGCAGGCTGTCCTCCTCTCACTGTAGCAGGCTGTCCTCCTCCCACTGTAGCAGGCTGTCATCCCCCACTGTAGCAGGCTGTCCTCCTCCCACTGTAGCAGGCTGTCATCCCCCCACTGTAGCAGGCTGTCCTCCTCCCACTGTAGCAGGCTGTCATCCCCCCACTGTAGCAGGCATCATCCCCAACTGTAGCAGGCTATCCATCTCCCCCTGTAGCAGGCTGTCATCCCCCACTGTAGCAGGCTGTCCTGCTCCCACTGTAGCAGGCTATCATCCCCCACTGTAGCAGGCTATCATCCCCCACTGTAGCAGGCTGTGTCATCCTCCCACTGTAGCAGGCTATCATCCCCCACTGTAGCAGACTGTCCACCCCCCACTGTAGCAGGCTGGTCCTCCCACTGTAGCAGCCTATCATCCCCCACTGTAGCAGGCTGTCATCCCCCCACTGTAGCAGGCTGTCATCCTCTCACTGTAGCAGGCTGTCATCCTCTCACTGTAGCAGGCTGTCATCCTCTCACTGTAGCAGGCTGTCCTCCTCTCACTGTAGCAGGCTGTCATCCCTCCACTGTAGCAGGCTGTCATCTCTCCCACTGTAGCAGGCTGTCCTCCTCCCACTGTAGCAGGCTATCATCCCCCCACTGAAGCAGGCTGTCCTGCTCCCACTGTAGCAGGCTATCATCCCCCCACTGTAGCAGGCTGTCCTCCTCCCACTGTAGCAGGCTATCATCCCCCCACTGAAGCAGGCTGTCCTCCTCCCACTGAAGCAGGCTGTCATCCTCTCACTGAGCAGGCTGTCATCCACCACTGAAGCAGGCTATCATCCCCCCACTGAAGCAGGCTGTCCTGCTCCCACTGTAGCAGGCTATCATCCCCCACTGTAGCAGGCTGTCCTCTCCCACTATAGCAGGCTATTCTCCCCCCAAGAAGCAGGCTGTCATCCCCCACTGTAGCAGGCTGTGTCATACCCCACTGTAGCAGGCTGTCATGCCCCCACTGTAGCAGGCTATCATCCCCCCACTGAAGCAGGCTGTCCTGCCCCCACTGTAGCAGGCATCCCCCTGAAGCAGGCTGTCCTGCTCCCACTGTAGCAGGCTATCATCCCCCCCCTGAAGCAGGCTGTCATCCCCCCATCATCCCACCCCCACTGAAGCAGGCTGAAAGCATCATCCCCAGGCACTGAAGCAGGCTATCATCCCTGAAGCAGGCTATCATCCCCCCACTATAGCAGGCTATCATCCCCCCACTGAAGCAGGCTGTCATCCTCTCACTGTAGCAGGGCCGTCCTGTGTAGACCATTGGAGGCAGGACTTTAGAGTTCACATCGTGAGCAGTGTGTGTGTTGGCTTTTATGAAGCCATTGACGTTGGGGCAAAAATTTGAGAGTCCAGTTTTCAAAACACGAAATTTTGAGTCGCCAGTGGATCCCTGCAGACTAGGATGGTATATTGTGATGAGGATTGTGGAGACAATTAGGGAAGCCGGTCTGGGATTAATGGATTAGGACCTTGGGTGGTGTTTGCGGGAAATGTAAATATTGAATGTAGATATTGAAACTATCTATATGCAATATAGATGTTGAATTTAGGTTTGGATATTGGAGATATCTATAATATTCGAGCAGTGTTTAACTCATCCTCATCTTGTTGGTTCTCCAGTCAGTACGGAAGTCAGGAGTAGAGATTGGTGCAGCGATCAATTACTAGAATGTTATAAATGCAAAGTTACTAAAATATGAATGATATATATTGAAGATATATTGATATACGGTAATAACAAGTGGGAGAGTGTAGGGACTAGCGGGATTCTTGAGGGAAGGAAGAGGCATACAGCTTCACCGCGTGAATAGACAGCTTCGCAAACCAAAGGAGGACGAAGCTTAGGCAAGAGAGGTGATGTGCCACACTGTTCTTAGTTTACACTTAACACGACATTTTTAACCTGTATCTTTACCCCCGTGGGCGACCTTATTTAGCAGCTGACCTTATTCTGTTCTGACCTTACTGGACGGTGACCCCTGTACGCTGGCGTGACCTCATTCATGACCCAATCCTCTGGTGTGACCTCATTCATGACCCAATCCTCTGGTGTGACCTCATTCATGACCCAATCCTCTGGTGTGACCTCATTCATGACCCAATCCTCTGGTGTGACCTCAGTCATGAGCCAATCCTCTGGTGTGACCTCAGTCATGACCCAATCCTCTGGTGTGATCTCATTCATGACCCAATCCTCTGGTGTGACCTCATTCGTGACCCAATCCTCTGGTGTGACCTCAGTCATGAGCCAATCCTCTGGTGTGACCTCATTCATGACCCAATCCTCTGGTGTGACCTCATTCATGACCCAATCCTCTGGTGTGACCTCAGTCATGAGCCAATCCTCTGGTGTGACCTCAGTCGTGACCCAATCCTCTGGTGTGACCTCAGTCGTGACCCAATCCTCTGGTGTGACCTCAGTCGTGACCCAATCCTCTGGTGTGACCTCAGTCATGAGCCAATCCTCTGGTGTGACCTCAGTCATGAGCCAATCCTATGGTGTGACCTCAGTCATGAGCCAATCCTCTGGTGTGACCTCAGTCGTGACCCAATCCTCTGGTGTGACCTCATTCATGATCCAATCCTCTGGTGTGACCTCAGTCGTGACCCAATCCTCTGGTGTGACCTACCGCGAGCTATTGAAAATGTGGCGTCTGTTCCCAGTAATTACCAATACTGGTAAGTGTCAGTGCGTCTGGTCGTCTGGCTGCCTGTCCCGCTACCAATGTGCGTCCGTCAGTCTGTCTACTTACCTGTCTCTCTGTCTCTCTATGCGTCTGTTTACATGACGGCCTTGGTCCCCAAGCTGTTATACTTGTATCACATTTCATCTGTCAATATATCTCTTTCTCTCTCTCTCACACAAACATTACGAAAGTACAAATATGTATATATATATATATATATATATATATATATATATATATATATATATATATATATTATATATATATATATATATATATATATATATATATATATATATATATATATATATATATATATATATATATTTAAGATGAATAGGAAAACCAGGGATATACTGAACATCTTGTTTCAGATTATAACGTTTCGAATACTTCTCGTATTCATCATCAGATCTAAAAGAAAAACAGAAATCACAATCAAATAACTAGTCCAAGTGAGCCTTCTTAACTGCGAAATCCACTTTTTCTATTCTTAACTACAGGTCTTCCGTATCGTTTTAATTCTTTTTAGATCTTTTCTTTTCGTTTTTCTTTTAGATCTGATTGATGAATACGAGAAGTATTCGAAAACGTTATAATCTGAAACAAGATGTTCAGTATATCCCTGGTTTTCCTATTCATCTTAAAATTAAGATTCCCGAAGGGAACATCGATCATAAATATATATATATATATATATATATATATATATATATATATATATATATATATATTATATATATATATATATATATATATATATATATGCGAACAAGCCTGAATGGTCCCCAGGACAATATGCAACTGAAAACTCACACCCCAGAAGTGACTCGAACCCATACTCCCAGGAGCAACGCAACTGGTATGTACAAGACGCCTTGATCCACTTGACCATCACGACCGGACATAATGAGGTGATAGCCGAGGCTATTTGAACCACCCCACCGCCGGCACTCGGATAGTAATCTTGGGCATAGCATTTTACCAAATCACCTCATTCTTTGGGGCACACGTGAGGAACACAAATGCGAACAAGCCTGAATGGTCCCCAGGACAATATGCAACTGAAAACTCACGTGTGCCCCAAAGAATGAGGTGATTTGGTAAAATGCTATGCCCAAGATTACTATCCGAGTGCCGGCGGTGGGGTGGTTCAAATAGCCTCGGCTATCACCTCATTATGTCCGGTCGTGATGGTCAAGTGGATTAAGGCGTCTTGTACATACCAGTTGCGTTGCTCCTGGAGTATGGGTTCGAGTCATTTCTGGGGTGTGAGTTTTCAGTTGCATATTGTCCTGGGGACCATTCAGGCTTGTTCGCATTTGTGTTCCTCACGTGTGCCCCAAAGAATGAGGTGATTTGGTAAAATGCTATGCCCAAGATTACTATCCGAGTGCCGGCGGTGGGGTGGTTCAAATAGCCTCGGCTATCACCTCATTATGTCCGGTCGTGATGGTCAAGTGGATTAAGGCGTCTTGTACATACCAGTTGCGTTGCTCCTGGGAGTATGGGTTCGAGTCATTTCTGGGGTGTGAGTTTTCAGTTGCATATTGTCCTGGGGACCATTCAGGCTTGTTCGCATTTGTGTTCCTCACGTGTGCCCCAAAGAATGAGGTGATTTGGTAAAATGCTATGCCCAAGATTACTATCCGAGTGCCGGCGGTGGGGTGGTTCAAATAGCCTCGGCTATCACCTCATTATGTCCGGTCGTGATGGTCAAGTGGATTAAGGCGTCTTGTACATACCAGTTGCGTTGCTCCTGGGAGTATGGGTTCGAGTCATTCTGGGGTGTGAGTTTTCAGTTGCATATTCAGGCTTGTTCGCATATATATATATATATATATATAACTGAAAACTCACACCCCAGAAGTGACTCGAACCCATACTCCCAGAAGCAACGCATCTGGTATGTACAAGACGCCTTAATCCACTTAATCCACTTTCAGTTGCATATGTCCTGGGGACCATTCAGGCTTGTTCGCATTTGTGTTCCTCGAACCCATACTCCCAGAAGCAACGCATCTGGTATGTACAAGACGCCTTAATCCACTTAATCCACTTTCAGTTGCATATGTCCTGGGGACCATTCAGGCTTGTTCGCATTTGTGTTCCTCACGTGTTGCCCCAAAGAATGAGGTGATTTGGTAAAATGCTATGCCCAGATAACTATCCGAGTGCCGGCGGTGGGGTGGTTCAAATAGCCTCGGCTATCACCTCATTATGTCCGGTCGTGATGGTCAAGTGGATTAAGGCGTCTTGTACATACCAGATGCGTTGCTTCTGGGAGTATGGGTTCGAGTCACTTCTGGGGTGTGAGTTTTCAGTTGCATATGTCCTGGGGACCATTCAGGCTTGTTCGCATATATATATATATATATATATATATATATATATATATATATATATATATATATATATATATATATATATATATATATATATATATATATATATATATATATATATATATATATATATATATATATATGAATTTGTAATTTGAATTTGGGTCATAATAGCTCCAGGATCCCTCATAATCTGTTGACACTGTTGCAAGAGGTATCCTCATTTTCCCTCTTCGCTACGTCTCCCATGGTCTCTTTTTCTCCCTCGCCCATGGTACCGTTCCCTCTCTATCCCATGGCACCATTTCCTTCTCCCATTAAACCCTTCCCTCTTTCACCCATAGTCCATAGTACCTTTCCCGCACTCCCCCATGACATCCTTCCCTCCCTTTCTTATGATACCCTTCACTCTCTCCCATGGTACTCTTCACTCTGTCTCCCATGGAAGACTTCCCTCCCGCTCCCATGTTACTCTTATCTGAGAGAGTGGTCTCTCAGATAAGGAGAGTAACTGGAGTTACTCCCACTGGAGTCTTCGAGTGCTTCAGAGCAGATATTACAGAGCTTCTGACTGTGCACTAAAGTCGGGGAAATTAACCCTATGGGTCCTATTAGTGCACAAGGCAGAGGCACGAAGACCATTACCCTTATTTCTGGCGTTAAATCTAGCGTGTTTGTGCGATAGTGAAGACCGGAGCTATTTAGACCTGTGAATGAGGCATTGTGAGAGTGAGTGAGGCCGGGATTACTGTCAGAACTAAAATATGTTTTATTATTGTGTCATTGTCTATCTTCCGCGCTGATTATTGATCAGCCAGAGATTTACTCACCTCGCTACTCACCCCAGAGCAGGTGTAAACTCACCCCCAGTTTACAGACTGATCAACGATGAATAAGTGATTGTCTGTGTGGTATCGTGATTGTTCCGCTTGTCAGAGTGAAGGTCCATTTTTACACACAAGAGGCAATCAGATATAAGTGCATGTTGTGTTGATTGTCAGCATGCTAAGTCATTATTCCTGTTGAATGTACATGCATATTGTCTCCTGAGGATCCGGAAGGAACACCCGTGTTTTACCTTGCAAACAGCAGGTTTAGGAAACCCATGTTTGCGATTGATTGTCCCCCGAGTGAAGCAAATGATCGGCCAATTGAGGCGTCCCAGTGTCTGCCTGATGTGATATAAGCTTTTTTTCAACACCAATCATAGAGTAACGTGTGCACCCTTTGTATTAGTACGTAAGTTCTGTAATTATTCATCGTTAAGGTTATGAGAGTGTTTGCATAAACTCTCTTAAATACTGTGTCCCAACTGAAATGTTCTCAGCTCAAATACAGCTCGAAAACTCCTATTCTACTAATCCCTTAGTCAATAAACATTTTTGTGTGGAGGACCCACTGGGAGATCTTTTAGAGTACCTGTGTTGCACTGTTTTGCACCCTCACCACTAAAGTGATCCTGGACCAGGTAAAGTCTGTCCAGGATCAGGAATATCCCCCACAGAGGGTTCCTCATTCGACCAAGTGCACCTTGGCCTCCTCCTGGAAGCCTTGCTCTTATCTAGCTAAATCCGAGCTGACATTGTTGAAGCCGTCATCTATTGCAAAGTGGTGATGTTGCATGCAATGAATACAAGGGTGAAGCCAAAATTCACACCTTATGTCACTCTCTTATGGTACTCTTCTCTCTCTCTCTCTCTCTCTCTCTCTCTCTCTCTCTCTCTCTCTCTCTCTCTCTCTCTCTCTCTCTCTCTCTCTCTCTCTCTCTCTCTCTTTATCCTATTACCATTCCCTCCCTCCTCTGTGGTACACATCCTTTTCCTTCCACTCAAATGGTACCTTTCTCTATCCAATTTTTCTCTTCCATTCCTCTCTAATGGACCGCTTTTCTTCCTCTCTCATGGCACCCTTCCCTTCCTATCCCATGGTACCTTTCCTCCTATTTTTTTGTATTCTCATTTTTTTTCTCTCTTCGCTTTTGGTTGCCACTGACATTTTCTGCCATGTTTACTTCTTGACTCCATTCCTTCTTCAATGTCTCTCCTTTTCTCTTGCATTTGTATTCGCGTGTATAATGCCTCCCTTCTGTCCCTATTTCCCAGTGTCCCGTCTCCGTAGTGCCAATTAGCCCACTAGTTAGGCAATTGGAAGTAATTACGACGGTGAAGTGTCAATTGTACTGGCTGGCTGTCGAGCAGATCAGGGCTTGAATCTCCAATGAGGAGTTAGTATTGTATTCCAATTTCTGGGAAGCTGGTTTCTGCGGTACAAGTTAATCCCCGCACGAGTATGCTTTTAGCCCAGCTGACTGACAACTGTGTGGGCATGGTGGAGATCCACGTGGCTTCGACAGGTGTTTCAAGAGTCAACTGGCCCTCTCTTGTGGGGCCGGTTTACGATGAGCTTCTGGTCGGTTCGTTAAGTAGCTTTGGTCACCATTCCCCCCCCCCCCA